AATAACCAGGGCCTTTAGGTAACAAGAACCAAAGCAGTAAAAGACCTGATACAAATTTGTGTCCATTTCTGTGTGTATTGAATGTGGCAGTTACATCTCGATAAGAAGAATGAGGAATCTTCTGGTCCAGAGCCTTGTAGTATTTGATATTAGCATCCTATATTAAGCAGTTTCATGCACTTGACTTGGTTTACAAAATCATGTAGTCTTCTACTGTGATAATTTATTACCACAGATGCCAAAGGCACTCAAACAGCTGGGAAGTACCTATTCCTCCCTGACTCTCTTTTTGCTTGTGGTCATGTGTCAAATGAAACCTTGTGTTGATGGGGAAGGTACCAGAGCTGCATCCTTTTTGGGAAGAAAATAACAGCTCATCAAAACAACATCCTATGCTCGTGCTTGCTGCACTGGTGATCCTGACCCAAAGTGAAACAGCAACAGCACAGCATGAAATATTCCTGTCTAAAAATACAGGCCAGGCAATGCATTCCTGGAAGGAAGATCAGCAATTTGCAGAAAAGATGAAGGGAAGGGAAGGGAAGGGAAGGGGGAAGGGGGAAGGGGGAAGGGGGAAGGGAAGGGAAGGGATTCCAAAATGAACAATGAGAAAGACAGACAAGAAAAGAGGTGGCAAAAAAAGGCATTTTGCTTAAATGCTTTGATTCCTAAGTTCCTATTTCACTTCTCTACACTTTAGCTATCTTCTTTATAGTGGCAGAAACTGCATTTTTCTCTCTGTTCAATGACAGCTAAATAAAGCATATCATATATTTAAAAGCTCCCCAAAACTTTAGGATCAGATACTGTATTTGATATTTTGAGAGCATCATGGATGCTCTCATAAAATGGTTACTGAAGGAAGCTTGAATTTTCCTCAAAACTTGAATTTCCCCTTGAATTTTCCTCAATCATGGAGCTGGAAGGGACTTTGGAGGTCTTCTAGTCCAACCCCCTGCCCAAGGCACCTTATTGCATTCTGGACAATCTTTTCTTTTTTTTTTAATTGAAAAGTTTTACAAAAAAGAAATACAAAAAAAAAATCCCCCCCTATCCCCCCACCCTTCATCCCACCCTCCCCACCAGACTTCCCAGAGCAAAATACAAGGTATTTCATTTAATCAATCATAAACTAGATTAATCTACTTATCCTCAAAGTACTAACTCCCCCCGGAACCTTAACTCCACTATAAATAACCTAATACTTCTAATACTAACATTCATTCATAAGCTATTTGATATTTTCTTGTCTGATACTTATTTTGAATATAATCAATCCACCTTCTCCATTCCGATACGTATCTTTCTTGCGTGTGGTCCTTCAAGTATGCTGAGATTTTCGCCATTTCTGCTAGGTTTGTTACTTTCAATATCCACTCTTCAATAGTAGGCAAAGAGTCCTTCTTCCAGTATTGAGCTACCAACAGCCTAGCTGCTGATATTAAGTTCAAAATCAATTTAGTCTCTGATACTGTACAGTCCGTCGTTATATCCAATAGGAACAATTGAGGAGTAAATTTCAACCTTCTTTTTCCTCCATCTAGCTTGAAGCTGACCATACTGAAACCACGTATAAATTATCCCTTCTTCTTTTAATTCATCTAGAGATTTCAGTTGCATCTTACCCCTTTCCAAAAGAAGAAGCTCTTTATAAGTAATCACCTCTATTTTTTGCTCTATACTTATATTTTCTATTGCATGTCTGGGATTTGCCCATATAGGTATCTTATAGTTCAGCTTATATTGGTACTTTTTCCAAACCCTCAACAATGCATTTCTGAGTATATGACCCTTAAACGCTTTATCCACTTTTTTTTCATATAACAAATAGGCATGCCATCCATATAAGAAATCATAACCTTCTATGTTTAACATTCTTTCTTCAGTTAAATTAAACCAATCACTAATTTGTGATAAAGCTACTGCTTCATAATACAATCTTAAGTTAGGCATTTTAAGACCTCCTCTCTCATGTATATCCTGTATAATTTTCAGTTTCATTCTTGGTTTCTTCCCAGCCCAGATAAAAGTATTAACCCCTTTCTGCCATTCCATCAGATTTCCATCTTTTTTAAGCACACGTATTGTTTGGAACAAAAATAAAAACCTAGGTAGTACATTCATTTTTATTGCTGCTATCCTTCCCAGTAGTGATAGTTGTAATTTTTTCCATTTTTCCATTTCTTTCTGTACTTTTTGCCAAAGAATTTCATAATTATTTTTAAACAATTTCATATTTGAGGCTGCAATATATACTCCTAGATACTTAACCTTTTTAACTACTTCAAACCCCGTTATTCTCCCTAAATCTTCTCTTTGAGTTATGGTCATATTTTTAGTTATCATCTTTGTCTTGTGTAGATTTACTTTAAATCCAGATACTTTGCCATATTGAGCTACTATGTCCAGCATATAGGGAGCCGCTTCTATAGGTTGAGATAAGGTAAGAACCAGGTCATCTGTAAATGCTCTTAGTCTATAATCCTGCTATCTAATTACAATTCCTTTTATTTTGTCAGAATCACGTAACTTGTTCAACAAAACTTCTAAAGTTAAAATAAACAACAATGGTGACAAAAGACAACCCTGCCTCGTACCTTTCTCAATTTTAAACACATCTGTTAAACCTCCATTAATTATTATTTGTGCTGTTTGTTCCTGATATATTGCTCTAATTGAATGTATGAAATACTCCCCAAAGTGCATTTTTTCTATTATTTTAAACAGGAATTGCCGGTTCAATCGATCAAATGCTTTCTCTGCATCCAAGAATATGAACGCTGCAGGGACCTGGTTATTTTTTTCCAAATATTCCAATAAGTTTATAATTTGTCTAACATTATATTTCATCTGCCTCCCTTTTATAAAATCTGATTGGTCATTGTGAATAACTTGTTGCATAACTGACATTAATCTATTTGCTAATATCTTAGCAAAAATTTTATAATCCGTATTCAAAAGTGAAATTGGCCTAAAATTTTCAGGTTTAGTACAGTTTTGATCTTCCTTCGGAATCAATGAAACAAAAGCTATTCTCCAAGAGGGTGGAACTCCTCCCCCTAATTGAATTTTACAAAGTAGAGTTCTAAGCGGCTCTACCATTTCAAGCTGTAAGTTCTTATAATAAACAGCTGTTAGTCCATCCGTTCCTGGAGCTTTCCCTGTTTTTAACTGCTTAATTGCCGCAACAATCTCCTCAGAAGTTATTGGTTGATTCAAACCTTCCTTCTGTTCCAACGTTAATTCCAAAATATTCCCTTCCTTTAAATATCTATCTATATCTACACCTTGTATTGAGTCACTAGCATATAACTTTGTATAAAATTCCAAAAAAGCCTTTTTAATCATATTCTGTTGGTAAACTTCCTTACCTCTATATTCTATCTTACTAATGACTCGTGACAATCTTTTCTTGAAGATCTCCAGTGATGAAGCACCCACAATTCTGGGAGGCAAGCTTTTCCATTGAGTAATTATTCTTATAGTCAGGAAATTTCTTCTTAGTTCCAGATTAGATCTCTCTTTAATGTGAGCTGGTATGTGCACACTGTTATACATGCAATATATAGGTTTGCAATATAGTCCACAGGAAATAAGCCTCTTAAAAAGAATGATCCAAAAGCCTGAAACTATATTTCCTTCTTATGTTTCAACATTCTATTTGAAAGAGAAGATGACTGGAGAAGTATTTCAATGGAAGATCCTGACATATCTCAAACTTCTGCAGGAGAAAGCTGTCACACCCTCATGTTTTCTTAAAGGATGGTCCACTAGTAGCCTGTCAGTGACACTTATAAATTGGGCTTGCAAATAAAAAAAAATTCAAATTTTCTGAATGCAATCACCCCAATCTAAATATTGGAATATTTTTTGAAATGTATCAAGAAGAACCATTGGAAAACAGGATTGTGGGGCTGAGACCATTGTTGACCAGTTACATACTATGGCAGAGTATAGATGAAGGTTGTAGAGCTCTAATATCTCTCTATATATATTTAATGATTTACATTAATAATAACAAAAAATTCTGAATATCACTATATGTTAAGTTACTTCAAAATCTCTCAAGAGGTTTTTCTGAGATTTTGCAGGAATTCAGCATTTTCATATGAAACTGTGAAATGAAATATGTGAAATAGATCTGTGATGTTCTAGTCATGCCTTACGCATTGAAGCTGGCTGGGCAACTTTGGCCTAGTCACTCTCTTTCAGTTCAACTCATCTCACATGGTTATTGTTGTGGGAAAAAAATAGAGGGAGTATTAGGTATGTTGGCTGCCTGGAGTTATTTATGAAATAATAATAAAAGCAGGATAAAAATAACTGTTACATTAAATCTCACACAATGTCAGAGATTTAGCCATAAATGTATGTTCATGCCATCATGAAATCATGACAGTATTTACCCTTTGAAAAGGTGCCAAACAAAAACATTTTCTTCCTTCCGTCATGCTAATGGCATATTACATGCAACCTGCAGACACCTTCAAGGAAGAACTTGTTACAGCAAAATACTGATTAAAAGAACTGCCCACCACATTGTTATTCTAAGTGCCTCAATATTTTTATTTTATTTTTTTCGCAATGTAAAAGATACTGCAAAAAAATAATAATTGAAAATAGACCAAACTTAAAGAGCAACATTATAATTGAAATGATCAACTGTATAGCTATGTAGGAAGAAGACCTTTAATTTGAAAGGCGAGAGATTGCATTAAGGAAGAAGGCGTAATAATCTAAAGGTGAGAAGAATTTCTATTGTCTTATAAGTCTCTCTGTGGGAATTTTCACAGCATAGACATCTATTGGGAGCCGTGGGGAGAAGGGAGGCTTGTGAAATTCTAGTTCCTCGTACTTCTCATCCCATCAATAAATGCCTGCAATCATACTCTTGAGCTGTGGTGTGATTTCAAGGTTCATCTCTTCCAAGCAGCTCAAACACTAATTATCCCAGCTGTAATTAGTAAGATAATTAAATACTGGCTCACTCATCACTCTACCTTGTGTCGGGTCATGATTCTCCCAGAAGACCTTGAGCAGTTTCTCAAAGCTGATGGTTTCTGGCTGAAATACCACTCGCACAACTTCAGTGTGGCCAGTTTTGCCTTCAATGAAACAATAAGAAACAAGAATATTAATCACTGAAACCAACACAAAAAAAAAATGGATTTATTATTCCCCAGTATGTTAAACAAGTAAAAATACGTGGACAGAAAAAGACACATGATTAACAGTTGTAAGCCATGCCATTTTTTTTTGGTAGTTTCAGAAATGGCAATGCTTTATTTCATTAGGAAGCTGCTTTTTTTGCTTCGTTTTTTGCAGCTCTGCAGGGCATGGCAATAAAATCATGAGCTCATATGGGTGACGGGTGGGGGGGTGGGCAGGAGGAGATGGCAAGAGAGAGTTTCAACTCCTTTTTGTTCTAGTTCTGTCCTTACTTTTTAGGCTCTGGGTGGATTCATTTTTGAAAGGAAAATTGATATGTTACATCTAGGATATAAATCTAGATTAACATGTTTTGCTGGTTTTCTTCTAAACCATGGGTGTCAAACTCAAGGCCCAGGGGGTGGATCCAGCCCGTGGGGTGCTTAGATCTGGCCCATGGTGCTACCCTGGAAACCGTGGTGCCTCTGCCAGCAAAAACGGAGCTCGGAAGGGCCACTTGTGAGCTCTATTTTCGCTGGCAGTAGGTTGCAGGACCAATGAAATCCCAGCTGAAAACAGAGCTTGTGAGGGCCATGCCCCAAGCTCCGTTTTCACTGGCAGAGGGTTGCAGGAGGCTGTTGCAGCTGAAAAAGGAGCTCAGGAGCCTGTTTTCACAGGTGCCCCCGACCCGAATGATGTTATGCTGGCCATGCCCACCCAGGCCCTCTGAGATCAAACACAACCCCGATGTGGCCCTCAATGAAATCAAGTTTGACATCCCTGTTCTAAAGTAATAATAAATAAACAGAAAAGCATTCTGCCAAATTTTCCCAAAGGTGCTTTTTTAGGAGGCAACTGGACTTTGTTATTTTTTCTTTTGAGGATGTTTCGCTTCTCATCCAAGAAGCTTCTTCAGTTCTGACAGGATAGTGGGGAAGAGAGTTGAAGAAGCTTCTTGGATGAGAAGCATAACGTCTTCAAAAGAAAAAAACAAGAAAGTCCAGTTGCCCCCTGAAAAAGCACCTTTGGGACAACCATGACCTGGATGACTGAGAATCTCTACAGACTTTTCTCAGTACAATTTTCTCTATTTCTGAAAGTGGCATATAAAGAGTTAGTAGTGACAGGTGTCTGAAGGTTGCCCATCCCTGCCAGTTCACTGCAGGGGAGTTGAGCTGGAGAAAATTGCTAGGACATTTAATAAGAATCATATATCATAGTTTGTGGGCAGAAACTACTTTATTAGTTTAATATTTGTTCTTATTATCAAAGTGCTTCCCATTTTAACAGCTGCTTGGTACAAAACTCATATTATTTCAGCAAAGTTTCTTGTAATCTCTATTGCTTTTTGCTTTTAGCTTGGCCTCACTGTTCTCAGCTGTATCACCTCTGATTAAAGAAGTAGGCTATGAAAACAAATGTACTTTTATTTATAATGTCACAAATGTAATGTCACAAATAAAAAATAGCATTGTTATGCTATTTCTGATGGAATAATAGTGATATAAACTGCAAATAAAGTAATAAAGGTTTCCTTGGCCAAATTCAGTGGTAATGAGAGATAGAAGAAAATGGTATTTAGAGGATGCATTAAACAGAGGATTGCGGCAACATCCAAGAACATAAGACTTTGGCTGTACAAACAGCACAAGCCTTTGGCAGGGAAATTATTCTTTAGCACTAGGTTTGACCATGTCAAATGTCAGCACAAATATTAGGAAACATTTGACAGAGCCCTAACTATCCATACCCATAATAATTACCTGTTTTTTCAAATGCCCTAGTGCTTCTCTTTTAAAAGGAATCTGCTGCCATGCCCAGTTCTACCCTTTACTGTATTGTCACTTTTTCAGTGCTAAAAAATCACTGATTTTTCAGTCACCTAGCCATGTTCTGACTGTGGCATTCGAAGTAATGAACAGGCTTCCTTCTCAATTTAGATTCATTCCAAACAATATCATTTTGATGCAGTGTTATGTTTTGACATATGTGGTATAGTGTAAGTTGGTCTGTAAAAAATCTCAAATGTCTTCTCCTGGTACAAACAATTAAAGGATCTCAAACTATAAGATTGGCTGAAAAATTCCCCAAGTCTTTTAACAACAGAACAAACAGTTGTGAACAACTTAAGCTCAATTTAGAGCATACCTAACAGGAGGTAAACATAAAAATGCTACTATGAAATGCAGCATATAATAAATGTCAAATGTATCCTTCAACATAAAATGTAATGATGATAGATTCCTGGATGGGAGATAAAAGGTAGTATGCTATAGTGATTTTGGATATAAGAGCATAATTTATTAATACAAACTACCTTCTACTGGGCTAGATCGCTTTTTTTTAGTCCATGTGAGAATGTCTCTTCTATTCAGCCACAAAATAAGGGATAATTCTATTACCTAGAATTGTTTGCAATGCTAAGTAATTTTTATTTTCTGGTTTAAAAATAAGTACAAATTAATCCCTTGTTTTCTTTTACTTAAGAACTATTTATTTATTTCAGTTTATATGACCATCCATCTAAAATTCATGACCTTATTTATTTAATAAATTTACATTACCACCCATTTTCTAACCAACTTTGAGCAGCTCCCAATCAAAAATTAAAATTACAAATAAAATCATATTAAAAATATAAAACTAAACATTAAAATATTAAAATTTGTTATATGGGTGTTATAATACAGGATAACCCAACCAAATTTGTTTTTGGTTCTGGGGGGAGAGAAAGTGCCCCCCTCAGAACGGGCTCGCAATTTGGGTGTCCTTCTAGACTCACAGCTGAGATTGGAACAACATCTTGCAGCTGTAGCTAGGGGGACCTTTGCACAGGTTCGTCTGGTGCACCAATTGCGACCCTACTTGGATCAGGAGGCTCTCCTCACAGTCACTCATGCCCTTGTCACCTCACGGTTGGACTATTGCAACACGCTCTATATGGGGCTACCCTTGAAAAGTGTTCGGAGACTACAGTTGGTCCAGAATGCAACCGTGCGAGTTATAGTGGGTGCACCTAGATACACCCACATTACACCAATTCTCTGCGAGCTGCACTGGCTCCCTATCGGTCTCTGGGCGCAATTCAAGGTGTTGGTTATTACCTTTAAACTCTATATGGCTCAGGACCAGGCTATCTTCGAGACCGCCTTCTACCACATAGCTCCCAGCGACCGGTAAGATCCCACAGAGTCGGTCTCCTCCAGGTCCCGTCAGCTAAACAATGTCGGCTGGTGGGCCCGCGGGCGAGGGCCTTCTCTGTGGCTGCCCTGGCTCTCTGGAACCAATTACTCCTGAAGTCTGGACCGCCACCACCCTATTGGCCTTCCGGAAAGCGGTGAAGACCTGGCCCTTCCGGCAGGCCTGGAGCCGTTGATCTCGTTATAGTGATCTTGCGAGACCCGGCCACAAATTGGAGTGTATGTGTTTTAATGTTTTAATGTTTTAATGTCTTCTTTTAACTTTTGTATGGGATATTGTTGCATTGTTTTATTCTCTGTTGTAAGCCGCCCAGAGTCCCTGGGGAGTTGGGCGGCATAGAAATGTGACAAAATAAATAAATAAGTGTCATGCTCCCCTTGGTCAAATTTTAAAAACAAAAGAATATAAAATGACACATTATCAACACATCAGAAAATCCATATCCAGTTATTTTTTATTTTTATGTCATAATTTACTTATTTTAAAAGACTACAGAGCAGAAAGTATCTGACTAAATTTGGAAGAGTCGGGGGCTTGCTGGAATTTCTCATTCCAATAATTTAGGTGGGAATTCCCTCCTAAATTAGCACTCTCAGTTTTTCTCTTAGTTTTTTTCACCCACATTATCTCTTTTTTCAACTTAGTTCTGGCCTCCCAGTTCGTGTTTGAGACCCTATTGAAAATACATCTTTAACTTCACACCTGTAATATATAACATCCTTAGTTTATTTCTTTAAATAAGACAAAGACTTTTTTTCAGTTTGCCAGTGGTTGCTTCTATGCTAAATATCAGAAGGCATCCTAAAGTAAAGAAAAACTGACCCAGTAATGTAACTTCCACACAAAGCTAATAATTATATCAACATAACCATGCATACATATCAGTTTCATTTCTTGTGCAGATAACATGCAAACCTATCAGAATGATCTTATCACACGTTACTATCGACCTGTACAAAAAGTATGGCCGGAAACTTGTTTGTGCTTTGCCAATATCTCTTGAAGTTAAACCTTTAAGCCTTTGCCATCTGAAGATGTTTGTAGAGCTTTTAGAGGCAAAATGAATGCTTTAGGTTTAGGCTTTATAGCACCTACTTTACAATTTGGAGGAGAGTACAATTTTGGACTCTCCTCCAAACATGGTCCCTTGACTTACCTCGCTTTTGAATTGTGGACCTCACGTTCCTCAAAAAAAAAAAAAAAAAAAATCTGCATAAAAATCAATAACTGCATGAAAAAACTGACCTGTATGAAGTGGATCTCCAACAGAATATAGTAATATGGAATTCTCCTCTTTATAGAGTTCTAGTTAGTGATGCCCTCTTGCAAGATATTCTACCATATTCCAATTTAATTCCTTCTTCTACCTTCCACTGTCAATGATTGATCAGGATTTTGTGTTCACAGAATATGCTTAACTCTAATTACATGTTTGGAGGCTTCTTTTTTCTTTCTTTCTTTCTTTATTAAATTTATATGCTCCTGATTTCATTCTCCAAAAAGACTTTGTTGGCTTCCCTCATAATTATTTATAAATTATATAAATTACTTATAATTATTTTTTTTCAAAATGTGTCTGTACTTTTCAAGCCCTTACCCTGTTGCAGATCTACCTACCTTATGTTTGGCTACATAAGGATCATCGATCAGAAAATGAATTTATATTAGTTCATAGTATAACAACTTCAAAGTTATCATAAATCAAAGCACTCATTAATATGTACAAAGATAAAATGTAGTCCTAATTCTTGCTGCA